AGCATCCTGTCTCAAAGTGATGCTGAAAAACTGGTCCATGCATTTGTTACTTCCAGGCTGGACTACTGTAACTCTTTACTCTCAGGATGTCCCAGTAATTTCTTATAGAGCTTTATCATCCTAACAGAGCACTTCGCTCTCAGTGTGCAGGTTTACTTGTGGTTCCTAGAATCCACAGAAATAGAATGGGAGGCAGAGCCTTTAGATATCAAGCTCCTCTTCTATGGAACCAACTCCCAGTATCAGTTCGGGAGGCAGACACCCTCTCTACCTTTAAGATTAGACTTAAGACTTTCCTTTTTGATAAAGCTTATAGTTTTTGACTGGATCAGGTGACCCTGAGGCTTCCCTTGGTTATGCTGCTATAGGCCTGGGCTGCTGGGGGCCCCCATTATGCTCTGAATTTCTCTCCTCTCCTCTCCTTTCCTCTCTCTCTGTGCTTCTATATGCCACCATTAGACATCACTAACTTTGTGTCTCCTCTCCCCCGTAGTGTGTTTTCTCTCTCTCTCTCCCTGTACCTTTCTGTGGGTAGCCCTGGCTCTGGAGCTCTACATCTCTGACAAGCAGTCACCGGCCACATCAACCTGACCAGTGTTTGATTGTTTGTTGTGTCTTGTTGCTTTTCTTCTTTAGTCTTTCCTCTATCCACTCACCCCAACCGGTCGAGACAGAAGGCCGCCCACCAAGAGCTGGGGTCTGTCGGAGGTTTCTTCCGTTAAAGGGAGTTTTTCCTCCCCACTGTCGCCAAGTGCTTGCTCAAGGGGGATTCCCTCTGTAATAATAGTGATAACAGTAAGGTCTAGACCTTACTTTGTAAAGTGTCCTGAGATTACTTTTGTTGTGATTTGGCACCATACAAATAAAATTTGATTTGATTTGATTGCATGCTTTTTGGTTTATGTTTTTGAATTTTATTTTGTGAATTTGGCTTGTGTGTTTATTGGACAGATGTTGTAGTGGGTAAGGTTTCAAAGAGCAGAACATGAGGCCGGATCACACCAGCATTTATAACAGTGAAATTTCAGATAAAATCATGTCATTTCAGTACAACAGCATTAGGTAGATTCATGCTGCCTTTTGAGGGAACAAACCAGCATAAACCATTCATATCAGCGATGACCCGCTATATTCAGTTTATAAAACCCTGCTCTGATGGATTGACTGAATTTATGTTATATCCAGTGACTCTTGTCTTTACTTTAGCAGAACTGCTTGAGCCATCTATCCTCATCATCATCCGCAGTCTCTCTAAGTCAGTGGACAGCCCAGGCTGGTTCTTGGTTTGGAGCTGCAGGGACCACTGGGGCTTCAGGTTTGGCAACAGGAGCTACAGAGCAAGACAAGAAACTGAAGCAGTATCTGGAAGATGAGCGCATCGCCTTGTTCCTACAGAATGAGGAGTTCATGAGAGAGCTACAGCGCAACCATGAGTTCCTCATGGCCTTAGAAAGCGGTATGACTTTGTACATGACTCATTATACACAGAGAAATTCTGCTCAATGTCAACATCAGTTCATTGATATCAGTCAATACAGCTCTACTGACAGTTGCTGCAGGCTAGCAAGGCAAGGATGAAAAGAAACACCTGGATTTAAATTATAAAGTTAATAGGGACACAGCTTTTGGTATTAATAATTTATTTTAAACAAGTGCCAGCAAAGTACACATGCCAAAACAAAATCACTAAACAAACAAAATGGTTAGCTTCATGTAACTGAAGAAAAGAAAACTCAACTCATTGCAACATACAGGCACGTGCACACAGCTACACTTAGACTGCCACCCTCCCAGCTGCTCCACCTCAGCTGATTAAATAGCCCCTGGTATCAATCAACCCTGTGATATCCTTGATGACATCAGAGAACGTACAGAATGAGGAAGTGTTTAACCGCCTCCTCCTTTATCCTATATCCACATTGTAAAATCAAACATTTAACACACAGGTTAAGACATTAAGAAATTTACATGACTTATCTTAGGGACAAGTGGAGTGTCCTCACCCACTTTGTCACACTCTCCCAGTGTGACTGTAACAGCAGCTGGCTAAGCTAAGCATGTCACTGTGTTAATACTTAGGGTTATAGTAATCAGCCAGTTAAATCCATTATTTTGTGATTATTTCACTGTGGTTATATTCTAAAGCACAAACACAGCCACACCTTTGCACAAGTCTTTGGGAAGGATTTTGTGTGAATGCAGTCAAGATGCATGCTTTGTGTGTGTGTGTATGTGGCACTGCCCTCAAACAGACACACAGACCTGAAAATGGATTCACGTAGTATGCTTTTGTAATTCCTGGATTCATTTATAAATATATCCAAACTAAATCAGATAATCAGAATCAATTTGTTTAAATTGGCTGCAAAGGATCACACCTATAATACCGGGATTCTGGCAGCTGTATAAAACAAACACAGGAGCTGCAATTTTCTGGCTATTTTAAGATCAGTTTAGTGGCTTAAATTAGAAAAGCCATCTTGAAAGAGGGTCAAAATACTGGCAGTTTTCCACAATCTCTGTGTAAAAGGAGCTTGCGTCTTATAGACTGAACAACAAAATCTTTTACATGTAACTGATTTTACATTGCACTAGCTAGCAGTGGTAATTTTGTTAATGAAAACTATGATGAATTTATGTTGGTGACCTATTTTTCAGGACAAAAATTAAACTAAATAAAAAGTAATGTTTGATAATGAGAACAGTGACAAAATGTTTTACAGTTTCCATCAATGAATAAAAAGTAAACAATAATGTGAAATATGGATGAATGGACATATGAAGAAACTTAACGATCTGCCACATCTGTGGAATCACAAAATGCTGATCAGCTGGATATCTTGTGTGTTGCTATCAGTCAGTTCCAGGATTAATATGGGCATTCAACCATAAATCATGGCTAAATGTTCACTGCAGAGATCTCGCTGTTATCTAATGATTTAGCATCATCAAGCTGAACCCAGTGAAGAGGCCCATATTTGGCTTTTGGTACAAATATGAGTCCAACTTCTGCAGAGCAGAGGAACACTGTGAATAAAACACTATTTTCTATTTTCCACAAACCTCTGGATAGATGGGAAAAACACATGTAAACATGGTAACTGTACACAACCAGGATGGAGGAGATATAGTTTACAGTATATATTATAAATGAATTGAGGCTAAAATGAAATCACATTCAGGCATCAAAATTAAAACTGCTAGCAAAACATAATACAGTAGAATGTTTTTTAGTGGTGAAAAATAAAAAAAATCTAAATATGCTTGGTGACAAGCAAAATGCTTGCCTTGGCTATTGTGGTGCAACAATGCACACACAGCTTTAAACCATTTACCCTTCTCATCAGACAGTGGTAAAGATGAGTTGGTGAGGAGTTTTACAAATTAAGGAATTATTTTAGTTTCTCACATCAGTGATGATAACATCTGCTCTCTGTTTTTAGATCGCTTGAAGTACGAATCGCAAAAATCTAAGTCCGATCAGTCATCTAGCCTGGAGAATTCTACAGGTACATATTACTAATTAAGCTTCCTTTGCAAAGCTATTTGCAGCTCTGCCTTACAGTGCACACTGAATGTCAAGAATTTGTACTATGAACATCATGCCTTTAATATGGTCTTGCTGTGTATTTGTGCAGGAGAACAGTACTCTGCAGCTTCAATGGATGCCATCTCAGATGATACCCTGTTCAGAGACAAACTCAAACATATGGGCAAATGTAAGGCTCCTTACAGTACTACTAGTATTTCTCAAATAGCTCAATGAGCCTTTCATGTAGAGGTGCAACAGTACTTATACTTTCAAGCACTTTACATACTGCTTGTTAGCAGGTTTTTAAGCTGAATCAAATCGCTTTTGAATCAAAAATCATTCCGAATCAAATCATGATGCCAGGAATCTGAATCAAATCATGAGTTTGCCAAAGATTCTTACCCTTAATGGCTGTTATAATTTTGATCCCATGCTCTGGTGTTGCATTGGAGACTGGAATTGCCAGCTTCAATAACAGTGCTCTATTGCAAAAATTGTAAAGCAATGTGATTGTAACATGTAACCCAACTTTGATTAGAAATGTAGTGGACTAGAAATATAGATAGTTGCACTTGGATACAGTGCCTTATGAAAGTATTCAGCCCCCTTGAACTTTGCAACCTTTTGCCACATTTCAGGCTTCAAACATAAAGATATAAAACTGTAATTTTTTGTGAAGAATCAACAACAAGTGGGACACAATCATGAAGTGGAACGAAATTTATTGGATATTTCAAACTTTTTTAACAAATAAAAAACTGAATAATTGGGCGTGCAAAATTATTCAGCCCCTTTACTTTCAGTGCAGCAAACTCTCTCCAGAAGTTCAGTGAGGATCTCTGAATGATCCAATGTTGACCTAAATGACTAATGATGATAAATAGAATCCACCTGTGTGTAATCAAGTCTCCGTATAAATGCACCTGCACTGTGATAGTCTCAGAGGTCCGTTTAAAGCGCAGAGAGCATCATGAAGAACAAGGAACACACCAGGCAGGTCCGAGATACTGTTGTGGAGAAGTTTAAAGCCGGATTTGGATACAAAAAGATTTCCCAAGCTTTAAACATCTCAAGGAGCACTGTGCAAGTGATAATATTGAAATGGAAGGAGTATCAGACCACTGCAAATCTACCAAGACCTGGCCGTCCCTCTAAACTTTCAGCTCATACAAGGAGAAGACTGATCAGAGATGCAGCCAAGAGGCCCATGATCACTCTGGATGAACTGCAGAGATCTACAGCTGAGGTGGGAGACTCTGTCCATAGGACAACAATCAGTCGTATACTGCACAAATCTGGCCTTTATGGAAGAGTGGCAAGAAGAAAGCCATTTCTTAAAGATATCCATAAAAAGTGTCGTTTAAAGTTTGCCACAAGCCACCTGGGAGACACACCAAACATGTGGAAGAAGGTGCTCTGGTCAGATGAAACCAAAATCGAACTTTTTGGCAACAATGCAAAACGTTATGTTTGGCGTAAAAGCAACACAGCTCATCACCCTGAACACACCATCCCCACTGTCAACCATGGTGGTGGCAGCATCATGGTTTGGGCCTGCTTTTCTTCAGCAGGGGCCGGGAAGATGGTTAAAATTGATGGGAAGATGGATGGAGCCAAATGCAGGACCATTCTGGAAGGAAACCTGATGGAGTCTGCAACAGACCTGAGACTGGGACGGAGATTTGTCTTCCAACAAGACACTGATCCAAAACATAAAGCAAAATCTACAATGGAATGGTTCACAAATAAACATATCCAGGTGTTAGAATGGCCAAGTCAAAGTCCAGACCTGAATCCAATCGAGAATCTGTGGAACGAACTGAAAACTGCTGTTCACAAACGCTCTCCATCCAACCTCACTGAGCTTGAGCTGTTTTGCAAGGAGGAATGGGCAAAAATTTCAGTCTCTTGATGTGCAAAACTGTTAGAGACATACCCCAAGCGACTTACAGCTGTAATCGCAGCAAAAGGTGGCGCTACAAAGTATTAACTTAAGGGGGCTGAATAATTTTGCACGCCCAATTTTTCAGTTTTTTATTTGTTAAAAACGTTTGAAATATCCAATAAATTTCGTTCCACTTCATGATTGTGTCCCACTTGTTGTTGATTCTTCACAAAAAATTACAGTTTTATATCTTTATGTTTGAAGCCTGAAATGTGGCAAAAGGTCGCAAAGTTCAAGGGGGCCGAATACTTTCATAAGGCACTGTATGGTGGAGTAAAAGTCTAAATAGCCATAATTAAATCTACTTGAGTAAAGAACCGATATGTGAAAAATGTGCTTAAGTACAGTAATGAAGTACTTGTAGCTCAACAGTTTTGCAGCAGTAGTCAACACTTATGTTAAGATATCCCTAAATCGCTGAAATTTCTTTTCCTCCTCCTAATGACCTGCTCAATCAGCTTGAGGTTAATGTAATGTTGCTGTTAAGTGGAACGGGTGCATAATGTTGGACAACCTTTATGAGTCCAAATACTAGAGGGTAGAATTGGACTGGATACCCAATACTGGTATTGTTTATTATTTAAACCAAAAGTTTAAATGACAAAAAGGCAATGGTGGTTTTGAGAAGTACCAGGTTGTGGTCTGATGTGCTGAGAAGGGGGAACTCTCTGGTGCGGCAGTTGATGAGCTGATAAAAAGTTGACAGTGTAGCAGAGAGAGATGTATCTAGAAATGACTATGAATGCGTTTGGATAGAGTCTGTAACCTATTGTTGACTTAGTAAATAACATCACACTCTTCAGTGGCAACTGCTAAGAATAATGTAGAAAAATGCCTAAACGCTGCTGTGCGGTAGAATGCACTACACACAAGGTAAAGAACCCAGAGGTACAGTTTTGAAAGGTGCTGAACAAAACCCCCAAACTTTGATTTTGATTTGATTTGATTTGATTTATTCTTTCAAGCATGTAAAGACAGTTGATATGTCAACACACATAATTTTACACATATCCAACAAATGCTA